CCATGAACTCACAAGGAGAGGCACTATGAGGAGGTGTGGCCTTGTTGGAGTAGGTGTGGCCTTGTTGGAGGAAGTGAGTCATTGTGGGGGTGGGCTTTGAGGTCTCATATATGCTCAAGCCACACCCAATGAGACAGACTACTTCCTGTAACCTGTGGGATCAAGATACAGCAGCTCCTTCTCCAGCACCATGTCTGCCTGCACGCTGCCATGTCTGAACTATAAGTCACCCCATTAAATGTTTTCCTTTATAAGAGTTGCCGTGGTCATGGTGTCTCATCACAGCAATAGAAACCCTAACTAAGACAACTCTTGTGAGTCAAATTTATACACTTTTTAATTTTATATGCCTGGTCTCCTGTTGAACATCAGATCTTGTAGGTTACCTGTTGGAGCCTGACACAGGCCTGGTGGGCTTTCCTTGCTCTTCAGAAGTCCATGTGTGAACACATGCTGGTTACTTTCTCCCTCTTCTGGTCACAGACATTTGAATTACTTCTACCCTTGGGGCAATTGCAAAAACTGCCTGCTGCCATGGCCTTTTTAATCATGTAGCCTGCTGCCCTCAGCTTCCATTTCTGATTCTTCCAGGCGTGGAACTGTGGCAACCAAGCATGTGTATCCTCACTGACACTAAGTACCACCAGGTGTCTTTTGTTCTTTACCTATACTTTTCTGGAAATGGCCTACTTGATTCACAGAATAAGAATTTTTAAAAGCTATTTTTCCACATTATTTTTAATTACCTATTGTCTTAGTTAGGGTTTCTATTGCTGTGATGAAACATCATGACCAAAAAGCAAGTTGGGGAAGACAGGCGTGGAGGTTGGGGGGCGGTATTTGACTTATACTTCCATATCACTGTCCATCACTGAAGGAAGTCAGGGCAGGAACTCAAGCAGAGTAGGATCCTAGAGGCAGGAGCTGATGCAGAGTCCATGGACGAGCGCTGCTCACTGGCTTGCTCAGCCTGCTTTTTTATAAAACCTAGGACTGCCAGCCCAGGGATGGCACCACCCATGTGAGCTGGGCTCTCCCCTTTCAATGGCTAATTTAAAAATGCCTTACAGCTGATTTTTTTTTTTTTTTTAGACAGGGTTTCTTTGTGTAGCCTTGGCTGTCCTGGAACTCGCAGAGATCCACCTGCCTTTGCACCCTAGAATGAATGGCGTGTGCCATTACCAGCTTACAGCTGGAACTTGTGGAGGCATTTTCTCAATTGAGGTCCCCTCCTTTCAGATGACTCTAGCTTCTGTCAAGTTGACATAAGACTAGTCACCACAACTAACCCCTTGTCAGCTTGACCCACAAACACATCACAATTCAGTCATAACCCTTCCTTTCTTGTTCGCCCACAACCAAGATTGCACATTAAAATCATAACATTACTCTAAAAGATCCATAGTCTTTACAAATTCAAACATGTTAGAATTATAGTCCCTTTAAAATAGCCGATCCTTTTAAATCCAAAGCCTTTTAAAACTTTTTTTGAAGCCTTTCAGCTGCGGGCCCTGTAAAAATCAAAATTAAATTAAATATCTTCTTCAAGAGGGAAGAACCCGGGCACAGTCACAATCTGAACAAGGCAAAGCCAAACTCCAGCAGTGTAAATAGCTTGATGTACAATTATCTGGGATTCATTCATGATCTTCTGGGCTCCTCCAAGGAGCTTGGGTCCCTTCTCCAGCTCTGCCCTCTGCCGCACACACAGCTTGTCTTCTAAGCTCAGGCAGGCTCTGTTCTTCACTGCCAATGTTCTTGTTGGCCGTCCCATGGTACTGGCATCTCCAAAATACTGACGTCTTCTGTGGCAACTTGGCTGTGCTTTCACCAATGGCCTCTCACAGGCTCTCTTCATGGTGCCAAGCCTCAAATTCTCTGCATGACCCCTTCCGCCCTGGACCTTCAACTGCCACTGAGGCTGCACCTTCACCAATGGCCTCTCCTGACCTCTCACAGTGCCAAGTCCTAGGTACTCTCCATGACCCCTTTGTGCCTTCAAAACCAGTACTGCTTGGATGACCCTTACATTACCAAGTTCAGCATGAGGTACAAGCTCGGCTACTTCTGGAACACGGCTTGTGTGTGCTGACCCTGAGCAAACACTTCCCAGAAGACTTCACTTCAATGATGCTGGTTTCTTCTTAATCGCCGACAATGTCTCAGCTCCAGCTGACCAACACCAACTGTCCCAGTAACGCAAAAGTTTCCCTTCAATGGTGCTGGTCTCTTGCTTATCATGGCTGACTCTTCAACCCCAAATGAACAGAATGGCAGCATCTTAATTCCAACAGCAAGTGGCCCTGATAGAGTCTTTAAACTTCCCTTTGAATCTTCACAAGCCAGGCCCCCGTCTTCTGCATGGCTCTCAACAGTCTTAGTTTCCAAGCTCCTACAGAACATCCTCCTGAGCTCTTAACACTCAATGGTTCTTCTAGCCCAACGCTCCAAAGTCCTTCCACAGTCTTCCCCCAAACACAGCAATACCCTACAACACTGGTACCAACTTCTCTTAGGGTTCCTATGGCTACAATAAAACACTATGACCATAAAGCAAGTTGAGGAGGAAAGGGTTTATTTGGCTTACACTCCTATTACATCATAGTACATACTATCATTCATATAGCATATCATATAGCATCCACTTGTGCCTAGCATGGTGCTAAGTGTTGAGCTTGCAGCAATGAAGAAAACAAACAAATACTTCTGATTTTAATCAATTGATAATATTATATAAGATATTATTATGAATAACGTCTTTTTGGTTTTTAATTATTTGTTTGTTTAAGACCGAGTTCCTGTAGCTGAGGATGATCTTGAACTTCTGATCCTCCTGCCTCCACTTCCCAAGGGCTAGGATTACAAGTGTGTGCACTATTCCTGGTTTAGGAAAGCTGGGTATCGAACCCAGGGCCTCATGCATGCTAGGCAAGCATTTTACCAACTGAGCTACAGCCCCAACTTAATAACACCTTATTCAAAATACACCAGGTATGAGCTAGGTGTGTTGGCTCACACCTATAATCCCCAAACCCAAGATACTGAGGCAGGGAAATCTTGAGTTTGAGGTCAGCCAAGGCTACATGGTGAGAATATCTCAAAAAGCTTGTTCTAAAAAGAAAAATGGTTAATTAATTTATTTAAAACATTTTCCAGACACAGAATATTTAAAGAACACTTACAACTTAGAGCAGTAACAAAAATGACTACAGAGCCTGACTTTAAAAATTGGCAAAGGCTGGGTCTGTGGCTCAGTGGCAGAGGACTCGCCTGGTGTCACATGATCCTAAGTTCAATGCCTAGCACCATAAAAAAAAAAAACAAAAAAAACAAAAAACAAAGGGCTTAAGCGCTGGTTCCACTGGTTCTCAACCTGTGGGTCACGACCCCCTTGACAAACCTCTTATTTCCCTAAAATATGATTCATTATGATTATGACATTATGATTCATAACAGTAACAAAATTACAGTTATAAAGTAGCAACAAAAATAATGTTGTGGTTGGGGGTCACTACAACGTGAGGAACTGTATTAAAGGGTCGCAGCCTTAGGAAGTTTGAGAACCACTGGTTTAGACAATTCTTCAAAGAAGATATGCAAATACCCACAAGCATGGAAAAACATATTCAATCCCATTAATCACTGGAGAAAAGCAAAGCAGAACTATGAAGAGTTGTCCTGTCACAGCCATCAGGGCGACTGCTGACAAAGAAATGGATGGCAAGCGCTGGTGAGGATGAGGAGAAACGGGAGCCTGTGTGCACTGTCGGAACATGAATGTTACCGATGCTGTGGAGAACAAAATGGCCGCTCCCCAAAAACCGAACACAGAATTACCACATACCCAAGCATTCCACTTCTGAATGTGCACCATGGGACCTAAAAACAGGATCTTGAGGAGCTGTGTGTATGTCCGTGCTTACAGCAGCATTACTCACAACCGCCAAAGAGAGGAAGCAACCCAGTCCTTCAAGGGATGGATAGATGAGCAAAACTGATGCATGTGTATGATGCAGCATTGTTCAGGCAAAAAAAAAAAAAAAAATCCTGACCCCGTGTGGGATAAAATTGAAACAGTATGCCAAGCAAGATAAGCCAGTCCCCAGAAGACAAATATTGGATTATTCCATTTAATATGAACAGCCAAATTATCAGGGACAGAGAGTGAGCAGAACGAAGCCTTCTGGAGCCTGGGGGAGGGGGAAAGGTGATTGTGTTACAGGTTCAGAGTTTCCATTCTGCAAAATGAAACGAGGTTTAGAGAAGTGTGGTAACCATTGTCCACTGTTGTGAATCTACTTAATTTCACCGAGCTGCGTGCTGAAAAACGGTTGATAAATGTCACCTGCATTTTCCTATCCTTTTAAAACCTTGAGATATATATATATATGGGAATAGGTACAGATGCATACGGATAAATATCAGGCATATATCAGATGGTCAAGTAAGATAAAAGTGAATGTGTTGAGGGGACTGCAGTCTTTAATGGGTGACCTTCGGAGGTGTATTAGTTACCGTTGCCTGTTGTACCCAGATATCTGACAAGAGGCAATGTAAAGAGGGAGGGTTTTGTTTGGGCTCATAATTCGAGGATACAGTGCATCTCACTGCTGAAGACGCAGAGGCAAGAGCATTTCGGGACGGTCACATTGCAACCACAGACAGGAAGCAGAGAGGTGAGTGCTGGTACTCAGTTGGCCTCCTCGTTTTTCTCCTTCTTATTCCATTTGAGACTTCCAGGTCCATGGGATGACGACACCCACTTTCAGGGTAGGTCCTCCTTCCTCCGGTAAACCTCTCAGGAAATACAAACAGCTCCCAGGCTCCCAAGCTGAAGCTTGCCCACCACAGGATGCATTCTTGGCAAGGAGCTCTTTGAGCAAAAGCCTAAAGGGAGGAGGATCTGGAGGGTGGAAGGGTATTGACCTGAACTCTGAAGGAGGAGACGTGTGTCCAGAACAGCAATGAGCTGGAGCAGAGCTAAGAGGAGAAAACAAGATTATATAAAAATCATACCACCTGCCCTGACCTATCACAAAGGTTTCAGGAAGATCACATTAGAGAACTTAGGTGAAATAAAATATACTGTCACAAGTTACCATATTAATTACATGCAAATGTATAGACCATAATCCCAGGCACCTTCCATTATATACCTTTGTGTGGCTTATGTGCCTCCATCTAGGAAGCCGAACTGAAGTTTCTGAAGAAAATATTGAACTCTGGACCTACTATCAGCCCAATCTAGCCCACCTCCACAACTAAGACACTCCTCAGTGCATTGCAACAAGGTTTGGAGTCACTTATTCTAGAGTTGTTTGATAAAACAGAGACTAGACAGCGTTCCCAGACCCTTTACCTCTAATATATGTGGTGAACTGGACTTACAATGTTTGACTCCTCCCCATGCTTGAATGGTGCATTCAATCCACGAGAACAGCTGGGGTAGGCCACGTATCAGAGTTTTTGAATAGGTGATGTGAATCGTCACATGTGGCCCTTCTGAAAAGACATCTTTAATACCGAGATGAGCTCCTAATGTTCTTTCCCTGTGACTCCTATTCCGACAGAACACTCACCCTTGGCATCTCTTGATGCTTCTGATAAATGCCACAAAACCGAGGACTCGCTGCCCTTATGGTCAGCCTCCCCCCACACCCCAGCCAATCCATCACTAGAGCCAAATGAGCTGTCACACCTGTGACACTGATCTCATTGGTGTCCGGCACAGATCCAGAGGACAGTCCGTCCTAGTGGCAAGCGGGCTCTGAAGCTCTTGATTCAGGATTCGGATCTTTCCACACACCAGATGGGAACTGGGAGTTTCTGAACCTTCAGCCTGCCATCTATTTAGTTCAGATAATAGATCTGCCAGATGGCTAACCAATCCTAACGTTTCAGCTGGGCGTTTCTCCATCCGCTCAGGAGACAATAAGCCCTGCGGACACATGGATGCTCCAGAGACCATTGGAATGAGATGGGGATGCAGCAGGGGAAGAGGTCAGAGGAAGTCTAAGGATACTAGCAGCAACCAGCCATTTACCAGAGACCTCACTGCACGGAAGTACACACTCACACTCAGAGCCGAGTGCTGTAAGTGCAAAGAGGCAGCTTAGGGTCACCCTCACAGCGGGTGTCCCACTGGCCCCTAGAAATGAGTTGGAACAGGGATGCTGTCGGCAAGATGCCTCAGGTGATCTTGAGAAAGCATTTCCCCTTTCCCCAAGAGGTAAGCTCTGAGAAGGCTTGGGATACATGTTTGCACCGAGTTTATCAACATACCTGGGGGTCAGGATACCCCAAAGGACAGCCCATTTACATTATTCCTTGTTCAGTTAGTCATCGACCCAGACCCTTCTCATGCTCTTTCCCTGCTGGAATGCATGGGCTTACCCATCCTCCTCACAGCTCACCTCCTCCACGCAGTCTTCCCAGATCCCTCAAGGCCTTGCTTGCCCCCACTACTCTGAGAGTTCCTAAAAATCATCTTCCTTGCATTAATCTCACACCCTTCCTTGCATGTGACTCTCATACCCCTTGTTCAATTTGATGACAGGTACCTACCACACCTGGGTATCCTTGGTTATCCTGCCTCATTACCTAACTCAGTGACAAACCATCGTGGGTGCCTGCTGACTCGTTAGCATGATCTGGGACATGCAAATAACCTTTAAAAACTAAATTGGGTAATACAAGATACTTGACAAGAAACAAGCGTCCTCTTGAACGAATGATGAGCGATGGAGCTTTGGCAAACGAAGACGGTAGATCACTCCATCATCCTGCACCTTTAAAAAAAAAAAAAACCAAAATGAAAGGGAGAAATCGAATGCAAGTTCCCAGTGACATCAGCTTTGGCAGTCCCTGATGGAAAGTGACCTTGCCAGAGCCCTGCTCCCTATTTCAATTGGAACACTTTTCCATTAGCGCTATTAATCTGGCCCAGCCGTCTGCGGCTGAGCCGCCTGGGCCAACCCCTCCTGCTTCAATCCAAACGCTGAATCATCTCTCTCTCTCTCTCCTTTGCCCTTTCTAATACCTTCAAGAATCAGAAGACTCAAGGGAGGAAGAGAGAAGCACAGAGCACCACCCACGCCCTCAGATGGACGACAGGAACAGAGCCTTCTGTTTCTCTCCATCCCTGGGAAGCCTTTCCTTCAGAAACATCTTTCTGTCGCCTCCATGTTTTAGATTTCTTCTTGTTAGGCTCAGCCCAGAGGAACCTTCTCACTTACCACTCCCAGCCACATTACTGTAAACAGTTTCCTTCCAAGGACTTCTTCACTATTTTCTCCCCAACTTACAGCTAGATTGCTTGGCACCAACCAAGAAACCCTAGTAACATCCTGGCCTCCCCAAGCAAACCCAAGATCAGAAGCCTCCGCATCTGCTTCCCGGACTTGGCAGTGATATAATGCCGCCGCGAGAAGACACCGGGAGTAGAAATGTTAAGTTAAAAAAAAAAAAAATTAAACATAAAAAAGCACCTTAAAGGAAGCAAAGGGCAGACAACCAAGAAGCAAGCAAATCTGATCTCTGTGAGCTGGAAAACACGAGCCAAGGGAATTCTAGTCTTAGCAGAGGCTGAGCCAGCTCCATTCTCCCAAGGATGGGGTAGGGTGCAAAGAAGGCTAGAGCGCCCTCTGTTGGGGACCTACCAGCATGCAGCTAAGGGCTTTTCATTCATGATCTCTCCCTAGTCGATGAACAACCCTTGGGGGGGGGGGGTCTGATTATCTAAAAAGAACTTGAGAGCAGAGAAGCCAAGCAACTGCACCAAGGTCAAGGTTGTACAGTTTGGAAATGACGTCGGGAAGGATGCTTGACCCAGCTTTCATTTTCACAAAATTGTCCTCCCTTTCTAGACTCACATTGTTTCATGCTCACAGGGTTTGAGAGTCAGATTTCTCTAGTGTACGGTGCCAGGTCTCAAAGCTGAACACGGAGGACCTCCTAGAGACGTGCTCTACTATGTTGTTGGGTAAGTGCTTCCCAAAGGCTGGCATATTTAAAGGACTGGACTCTAGACAGTGCCACCGCTAGGAAATGGTAGAACCTTTAAGAGGTAAAGCCTTCTAGAAGGAAGCTGGGTCTTTGGAGGACATGCCTTTAGCCAGCCTGGCATGAGTAAAGATAGTCTAAAAGGGAGACTGTGTCACCCATCTACTGATAATTGAAACAATGGTCCCCAAGGAATTGGACTTCACCAGGAATGGGCTGAAGCAGAGTGCCGGGCAGAGGAGGCACTTAGCTCCCTGGAAGAGATTTCACACTGTTCTAATATCTTGCCTGATCACCTCGTAAGAGAGACTGGAGTTGAAACAATGATGAGTTAATAATGGGCTAATGATGAGCAGGATCATACCTCAACCAGGGGCAGCTTAGTTATGCACATCACTTGCCGTTTAGTTAACCCACAACATCTTGTCTGGACTCGGGTGTCACCAGATCTCTCTATGTGTTCCTCTTCCCAATGGGGCTACACTGGACACATGTTTTTTTCTCTGTTGCCCACTGCCCTATTGAGGATGAGTAGCTGTGCCTCTCTTATTAGGGCAGCCCAGACCCAGGCTCTGGTCTAACCACTCTGCTAACACACCTTCTAAGGACAAAGTGGGCTGGTGGTCTCTCCTCCTTTTGCTTGGCTTTAGCCCACTGAGGCCGACTTTGAATATCTGGCTTCCAGATCTCTGGGAATAAATTGGTTTCACGTTAAACCACTAACTTGGTGGCGATTTCTTAAATCAGCAACAAGAACACACAGATGTCGCACAACTCATTTTGTCTACAGCTTGGGTTCCCAGTGTCCGAAATGAAACACTAACACCTACTTCCAGAGGGTATTTGTGAGGACTAAATGTGACAACTGTAAAGCAACTCTTGTGGCTAGAATACAGTAAGTGTTCGATAAATGGAGTCTACTCTGTTGAGCACAAATCAAATTCTTCTGGAGGCCCTAGGTTGCCCACAGGGCAGCTGTGGGTCAGACTAAGCAAGGCAGGATGGTGGAGCAGTATAAGAAGTGGGCAGAAGTGGGGGGAGGGTCTGGCTGTGCCTCCGTTTGTTTCTATTAGGCAAGTGATGGAGATGAGTAGGTGGTACGTCGGCAAAGGTAGCCGTGGGAGGGCAGTGCGGCAGGCTTCCCTGCCAGTTGGCCTCGAGTGTTGACCCCTGCCTGTTCCCAACACCCCATCCTACTCACAGCACGTCGGTCCACGCCTCAGTAATTCAGTCGGCCCCTGTAATGTGAAGCATTGAGATACCCAAAGGGCCCAGGAATATGAGTTCCCCTGCGTTTCATTTACAAACCAAATACAGCCAGCACATCGACTTCCGAGCCTCTGGAGAATTTCTGGTTCTTAAGCATTCCCAAGCATAAAACTGCCTTCTGTCTATTTGGCTGAACTGTGAATACTGTGAAACACTTTGGACAAATAACTGTTCTTCCGTGCCCTCGTCTGTTAAACAAGGACACGATGACACCTACCTATGGGGTTGTTATGAGCACTAAATGACTTCTAGATACAAAAGACGGTCTGCAAACAGAGGCAGAGTTTTTCTGTGCTGATCACCTGGCCCCAAATAAACACTCGGAAGCTTATATTAATCACAAAATGCTTGGCCAATAGCTCAGGCTTACTATTAACTAGCTTTTACTTTTCAATTAACTCTTCTATTAATCTATGTATTGCCATGTTGTAGCTGGAGAATTTCTCTCCAGCTCCCGCCAAGTCCTGCCAGTCCTGGGGCCCACTTATAAAATAAACACACAGACTGTTACATTATTTAAACTGCTTGACCATCAGCTCAGGCCTATCATTGTCTAGCTCTTACTCTTATATTCAGCCCATTTCTATTAATCTACACTTTGCCAGTGGCTCGTGGCTTACTGGTACCTTACATTTTTCTTGTCCTGGCAGTGGCTCCAGGCGGTCTCTCCCTCTCCCTTCCTGTTCCCTCTGTTCTCCTCTTTGTTCGTCCCGCCTATACTTCCTGTCTGGCTACTGGCCAATCAGTGTGTTATTTATATAGAGTGATATCCACAGCAGCCATGTGGCCTGTAGCTTTATCAGTCCTCTGGCTTCTTGGGCAGCTCCCTTGCGTCTCTCCTGACTCCTCCCTTCTTTATCCCAGTCCTCAGTTTGATTGTCCTGCCTAACTTTATCCTGCCTTGCTATAGGCCAAACAGTTTTATTATTAACCAATGAGAGTGATAACATATTCACAGCATACAGAAGGATCATCCCACAGCAATGGTAAAATACTCAGTAAGTTGCATGTGAACACCCCATTGGGGTTATTTTGATTTGGGAGAAAGACAGGGAGATAGGTGAGGAAGCATCCAACTTAGAAGATCTGATGGGCAAGATAATAACCTTCAAGTCCCTTTGTTTAGGCTAGACAGTTTCCTTTCAGAGCTTCAAGAGAAAGTAATTCACCTGGGGTGGTTTGAATGAGAGTGGCCCCCACAGTCTCATATTGAACACTTAGGGAGTGACATTAGAAGGTGTGATCTTGTTGGAGTAGGTGTGGCCTTTTTGGAGGAAGTGTGTCACTAGGGGTGGGGCTTTGAGGTTGCAGAAGCTCAAGCCAGGCCCAATGTCTCTCTCTCTTCCTGCTGCCTGCAGATCCAGATGTAGAACTCTCAGCTACTTCTCCAGCACCGCGTCTGCCTAAGCGCCACCATGCATCCCACCGTGATGATAATGGACTAAACCTTTGAACTGTAAGCCAGCCCCAGTTACATATTTTCTTTAATAAGAGTTGCCATGGTCATGGTGTCTTTTCACAGCAATAGAACAATGACTAAAATACCACAGCAGGAGCCTAACAGAGTAACTTACCACCATCATGCATTGAGTACATATTGTATACATTAGGCACTTTTCTGGGAACCAGGAACATCAGGGTTAAACAAGGTCTGTTCTCTGAGCTGAGGTGGAAGAGACTTGACAGACTCCATAACAAAGACGAGCACAGCCAGGGTGTCCATGGGAAAGGCTGTGCCTGGGGGCGGGGACATCAGGGAGGACTTCTTGGGGAGGAAATGATGTCTCAGTTGGTTAAGCAGTTTCCCAGATGAAGTTATAGGGATGTGAAGAGGTTGGAAGGGGAGTGGCCCTCTGAAGGCATGAGATGAAATACAAGCAGCATTTTTATGGGCTGCAGCATCAAAGTG